TTTAGTTCTCACTTATGAAAGAGGACATGTAATATATCTCCCTATTTGCCTGGCTTATTTCTCTTAACATAATTTTCTCTAAGTTCATCCATGTTGCTGCAAATAGCAGTATTTCATTATTTTTTTTTATGGCAGAGTAGTATTTCACTGTGTAAATATACCACGTTTTCCTTATGCAATCATCCAGTGATGGACATTTAGGTTGGTTCCAACTCTTGGCTATTGTAAATAGAGCTGCAATAAACATGGGTGTGCAGGTATCCCTTTGACATGATGATTTCCATTCATTTGTGTATGTGAGATGATGAATATGTTAATTTGCTTCACTATAGTAGAGATTTTAGTATTTATATGGATCCTATAACATCATGTTGTATACCTCAATTATACTCAATAAAATTTATTTTTTAAAAAATATTCTGAATAGCATAAAAAAGTTGAAAATATATCACAAGCCAGAAAAATAATAATTACATATGCAAATGTAAAAGGCATAATTTCTTTAGTATATGAAGGGGCTTCAAAAGTTTATGGAAAAATGGAATTAAAAGATAAAAATAAGAAACATAAACTTTATGTCTCAACATGAGCTCCATCAAGTTCAAGATACTTTCATAAGTGAAGATACCAGCCATTTAGTTCACCCTTAAAGAACTGAGGGTCCTGGGAATATAACCGTATCAATGCAATCTTTTTTACCTTATTAACTGAAGAAAAATGGGTGCCCATTAAAATTATTTTTAAGATTAGGAAACAAAAATATATCAGAAGGAGTCAAATCAGGACTATAAGGTGGATGCAAATGGTTTCCCATTGAAACTCTAGGAAAATTGCTCTTGTTTGATGAGAAGAATGAGCAGGAGCATTACTGTAGTGGAGAAGGACTCTCTGGTGAAGCTCTCCTGGACATTTTCCTCCTAAAGCTTTCTCCAAACACTCTCATAATAAGCAGATGTTCTCATTCTTTGGCCTTCAGAAAGTCAGCAACACAATCTGTGGTAATGTGCATGCTGCCCATATGGATCTGGCCTTCACATCTTGGGCAGGAGGGGTGACAATCAGCTTTGTGTTTCAGGAATATACATAAATAATTAAAAAAAGGAAAGTCAACAAGCAAAATGCTTTCAGCATCCCCAAAAAATGCTTCCAGGACATTTGCTCTTGACTAGTCCACTTTTGCTTTGACTGACCACTTCTACCTCTTGATAGCCATTGCTTTGTTTGTGCTTCATCTTCATGATTGGACTGATAAAGCCATGTTCCATCTCCTGTTACAATTCTTCCAAGAGATGCTTCAAGATCTTGATCCCACATGTTTAAAATTTCTATTCAAGGCTCTGCTCTTGTCTGCAGCTGATCTGGCTGCAACAGTTCTGGCACCTATTTAGTAGAAAGTTTGCTGAACTGTATTTCTCAGTCAGAATTGTGTAAGCTGAACCAATTGAGATGTCTGTTGTGTTGGCCATTGTTTCTGCTGTTAATCACAGGTCTTCTTTAATTAGGGCACAAACAAGATGAATTTTTTCTTTACAAATATATATATAATTTTATGTTAAGAAAATTATGTGAAACAAGCCAGACACAGAAAGAGAAATACCACATGTCCTCATTCATAACAGGGTGTGAAAGGAAGGAAGGAAGGAAGGAAGAGAGGGAGGGAGGAAGGAAGGAAGGAAGGAAGAGAGGGAGGGAGGGAGGGAGGGAGGAAGGAAGGAAGCAAGGAAGGACTACAATAATATGTTGAACTTTCAGAAGGAGAGAACTAATCTATGGTTTGTTCAAATCTATGGAACAAATCTGTGGTGGGAGGAGGGGGGGTTAGGGAGAGACTGAGTAAGGGATATAACAATTAATTACAATTTCTAATAACGAATATGCTAATAATACTGATTGATCATCACATGTTGTACACAGGTGATGGTAGTTAATGCTGTATCCCCAAAATATGTATAATCAATAATGCTTTGATTAAAAAATAATTTGCTTTTTAATTTTATATCATTTTGTATAATTTCCATTTTTACTATTTATTATTATTGATCATGTTTTTAATTTTCATTTTAAAAAGTAGAAGTATTACACTAAAAAAATCATACATGGGCTGGCCCGGTGGCGCACTGCGCTAGTGCGCCGCTTGGGAAGTGCGGAGGCGCTCCCGCCGAGGGTTTGGATCCCACATACAGACCGGTTCCCACTCACTGGCTGAGCGAGGCGCGGGGGCAACACCGAGGGTTGCGATCCCGTTGCTGGTCCCGGTGCGGTACGGGGGCGACACTGAGGGTTGCAATCCATTGCCGGACACGGAAAAAGACAAAAAAATAAAAATAAAAGAAAATAAAAAATAAAAAAATAAAAAATAAAAAAATAAAAAAATCATACATAATGCAAGTTAAATTCAATAAAAAGGACAGGGTATGCTATATAACATTAATTTTTTTTTTGCAATGTTTTCTTTTTTAATTTTTATTGAATCAAAATTGATTATACATATTTTGGGGGTTCAACATTGAGATATGTTGATCAAATAAATGTTACTAGCATATATATTGTTACTAATCATAATTATTCTCTATGCCCCTTGTCCAATCTCTCCCCCTCCTCCCTCCCTCCCTCCTCCCCACTCTAGTTACCCTAGATATCTTCTCTCCTTCTGAAAGAATAATGGTTACTCTGTTTATTTGTAGCCTAGATAATCTGTCCAATGCTGAAAGGTGTGATCAGGTCCCCCAATATTATCATAGAGCAGATGCTTCTTCTGTCACTCTGGAATGGTCTTGGTGGGGGGAGATGTCCTCTTCTTTTCTTCATCTCTGGTGGTAACTCCTTGTGTCAATGCACTCCAGTGGCTGGCAGACCATCTGCATGGTGGTTGTGGCGTTTAGCCACTTTCATGGCAGCCTTGGTTATTGTGGTGGCTGTGGTGGGCCACCAACATGGAAGTGAAGTTTTTGACATGCTCCTTTGTGCTGGCTTTGTGCCTGGTTGTGAAAGGAGGGTCCAGCCCCTGGCCCCATGCCCCAGGCCCCAGGTGGGCCCTGAGGTGCTATCACAATGTGCCTGTTTTGGGGAGGGGGTGTCCAGTCCATGTATCCATGTCTCTGGTCCCCAGGTGGGGCCCTGAGGTGCTGGTGGTGTGCCTGGCTGTGGGCAGGGTATCTGGTCCTCGGATCCATGCCCCAGGCCCCTGGGTGTGGCCCCAAGGCACTGGCTGTGTGCCTGGTTGTGGTAGGAGGATCCAGTCCCAGATCCATGCTTCAGGTCACCAGGTGGGCCCTGAGGCAGTGGCACGGAATGCCTGGTTTGGGGCAAGGCATCTGGTCCCCAGTTCTATACCCTGGGTCCCCAGGCAGGGCCCCAAGGCACTGGCTGTGTGCCTGGTTGTGGGACAGGGGTCTGGTCCCCTTCCTCATGCCTCAGGTCCCTGGGCAGGCCCCGAGCGCTGGCACAGTGTGCCTGGTCATGGGAGGGGGATCCTGTCCCTTTCTCCATGCCTTGGGTCCCCAGGTGGGCACTGATGTACTGGCACAGTGCCTGTTTGTGGGAGGGATATCTGGTCCCCTTCTCCATGTCTTGGGGCCCCAGGAAGGCCTTGAGCACTGGTGCAGTGTGCCTGGTTGTGGGAAGGGTTCCAGTCCCCTTCTTCATGCCTCAGGTCCCCAGGCAGGCCCCAAAGCACTGACGGTATGAGTGGTTGTGGGTGAGGGTCAGTCCCTGGCTCCATGCCTCATGTCTCTTGGTGGGACCCAAGGTGCTTATGGTATGCCTGGGCCAGAACTAACTTTTTTGTACTTTGCTTTCATCTAAAATGGGGGAATTTCTTATGGGAACCAGTACTTGAGCTGTGTGGTAGAGCTAAATTGCTGCTTTGCTACTATTTCCCTCAGGAAGGCTTTTTTGCACAGCTCGGGGTTTAATGGTTGACCTTATAGGTACTTCCTGCTCTCCAGAGACTCATTTCACCTGGGTTGTATAGAAACTCTGATCTGGGCTTGAGTTTTTTCATCAAACTGCACCCATGCAAGTCTGCATTCCCAACCTGTCTCCTCTGAGTGGTCCTGCACTGATTGGGGGGCAGATCAGCTGTCGTTGCTATGTCCCAGTGTTCTCCTGGTGGGCCTGTCTCCCCCACCGCCCATGCTCCAAACACCTCCCATGGGATGGGCCTTGCACCAGTCCCTTGAGATGACTCACCAGCCTCTGAATGGCTTCCCTTTTTCAGCTGTTCTGGCTCCTCACCACTGCATGGGTCCATGGGAACCATATTAGTGGTCTTGCTGTCCTGGGGGCCCCCTAGGCCCTCTTCTCCCCTGCCACCTCCAAGTAACTCCATCTGAACAGCACAGCTGTGGCCTTTGCCAGCTCCTTCTCCATGCACTCAGCAGCTCGAGCCTTAAAGCAGCCATGGCCCAAAACTCTCCAAGAAGTTTTTTCTTTCTCTCCTTGTGGTTTCTCCCACCTTCATGAACTCCTTAGGTCTTTCCGCCTCTTCCATTGAACTTGGCTGATGTTACATTTTTATAGTTGTAAATTGGTTGATTTGTGGGAGAGAGTGATGCTAGGGACCGCCTATTCTGCCATCTTGACTGGAACTCCATATATTTTAAATACTATAACAAAAAGAATATACTTAAATGACAAGTATCTAACTAAAAATGAAACTGTCTCAGAAAGAATGCCAAAAAAGTGGATACATTGATTAAGAACCAGTGTAACTAAAAAATTTATTTGCTGATTTGTTATATATTACTGACTTTTTGCTACATATGCTTTCAACTTTTGTATGTGAAGTGAGAAACAAGACATTAGAGAGCTTACATTCCAGCAGGGAGAGAAACTGTTATTAATAACACAATCATATAGTTCATTCTTTAATCATAATTGTCATAAATATTTTGAAGAAAGGAAAATTGGCATCAGATTTAAGGAATCTGGGTCCCAAGGAGACAAGCCCTAAAGTCAAACTACTTTCCTCATGATGGGTGACTTACTTATTTATTGCCTCATGTGAATTTTCTTCTCCAGAGCTTCCTCATAGCATTTTTCATCTCTGAATTTCTTAGAGTGTAGATTAAAGGGTTCAGCATTGGGGTTATGACTGCATAAAACACACTCAATGATTTGTCAATGCGGTAAGTCTTAGCAGGTCTTCCACACATAAAAATACAGGGAACAAAGAAGAAAACAATCACAGTGATGTGGGAGCCACAGGTCGAGAGGGCTTTCTGCCTCCCTTCCTGACTCAGGTTCTTTAGAGGGTGCAAGATGACACCATAAGAGGTGAGCAAAAGCAGAAACACAATAGCACAGATCAGTCCTCCACTGACTGCCACTGAGAGGCCAATGATATAGGTGTCAGTACAGATGAGTGTCAGTAAGGGGTACATGTCACAGAAAAAGTGCTCAATGACATTGGGACCACAGAATGGGAGCCCATAAATAGTGCTGAGTTGAGTTACTCAGTGCAAAAATCCTCCAACCCAGGACACCACCAGCAACACAACACACACCCATTGCCTCATGTTAACCAAATAATGTAGGGGCTTACGGATGGCCACATAGTGGTCATAAGCCATCACCAACAGAAGAAAGACCTCTGACCCACCAAAAAAGTGCTCTATAAAGAGTTGTATCATTCAAAATTTGAAAGATATGGTATTTTCCCCCAGGAACAAGTCTGAAATCAACTTGGGGGAAATGGATGAGAAGTAAATGACATCCATAAATGATAAGCTGGCAAGAAAGAAGTACATTGGTGAGCCCAGGGTTTTACTAACAGTTACAGTCATGACAATGAGCAGGTTGCCCACCATGGTCAGAATGTAGAAGAGCAAGAATATAACAAAAAGTACTTTCTGTTCCTCTGGTCTCTTTGTGAGTCCCAAGAGAACAAAGAAAGTCACATTGTTTCTTGGTTCCATTTATTATTTAGAGGCACTGACTTCCAGTCTTTGAAGCAGTTACCTATAAAACAAGGGGGGAATTTTAAATGTATTGTAATCTTAATCTTCTATTTACTTCTTCAACTAAAATTTGTATAGAGTATCTATTTATGTCATTCTGTCATAGACTTTGGAATTGCCAATTTGAAAAAAAACATGGTTCTCTACTCTCAGTGATCTGATGTACGTACTGAGAGAATAAAAGTATTACTTATCAATGTAACGTGTTATTATAAATATACTCACATTATTGTAAGGGTCACAGTCGTAGAAAATCTAAATCAAACTGATATCTGGGCAGGAGGTTTCTCTAAAATCTGCAGATAGAACTACCACATGATCCAGCAATCCCACTACTCAATATATATCCAAAGGAATGGAAATCATCATGTAGAAGGGATACCTGTACTCCCATGTTCATTACAGCTCTGTTTACAATAGCCAAAATATGGAAACAACCTAAATGTCCATCGACAGATGACTGGATAAGGAAAATGTGGTATACATACACGATGGAATACTGCTCAGCCATAAAAAAGAATGAAAACCTGCCATTTGCAAAAACATGGATGAGCCTGGAGAAAATTATGTTAATTGAAATAAGCCAGACACAGAAAGAGAAATACCACATGGCCTCACTCATAAGTGGGTACTAAGAAAGAAGGAAGGAGAGAAGGAAGGAAGGAAGGAAGGAAGGAAGGAAGGAAGGAAGGAAGGAAGGAAGAAAGGAAGAAAAAATACAATATGCTGAACTTTCAGAAGGAGAGAACAAACCTAAGGATATTAGAGATGGAGGATGGAGGGAAGGGGGTTGGGGAGTGATAGGTCAGGTGAGGGGCATAAAGAAAAATAGCAATTTGTAATAATGAGTATGCTAATAAAAATATTTAATTAAAAAAACCTGGTATCTGGGAAGGCTTCTCAGAGGAAGCAATACTTTAGACGAGTTTAAAGGAGAAGTGAGAGAACAAGGGAGGATGGGAAGGGAATTCAATGAAAAGACGGGTCATGTATAAACACAAAGAAGTATAATACTGAAGATTCACTTAAGGTAATGTACATATTCATAGTGGTTAGAATAAATTATGTGTATAAGGCTATAGAACAAAGGTCCCTGCATTAGTTGCTAGGGCTGCTACTTTGTAACAATGATGTCTTTCCTCCACTTTCCAATACCATGTTCCTCATTTCCATTTGAGACCACAACCATAAGTAACTTAACATTCATATTTCTAGCAGCATTCTGCTTACATTGGCATATATATTCTCTAAGACAATATATGCTCTCTGTACAGCTCTCCTTTTTCCTTTCTGAATCACCTTTCTTTTTTAAAAATATTTTATTTTGTCAGTATACAATGTGGTTGATTATTGTGGCCAGTTACTGAATGTCCATATTCTTACTAACAGTTTCTTCAAGGCAATCTAGCCTCTTTCTATCATGCACCCCAAAAGTCTTCCAGCATTCACCCATTACCCAGTCCCAAAGCCACTTCCACATTTTAAGGTATTTATTGCTGCAGCAGCACCCCACTTCCCAAAACCAAATTTGTATTCTTTTGCTAGAGCTGCTTTAACAAGTAGCGCAAATTCTTCGGTTAAGCAAAAGAAATTTATTATCTCATTCTGGAGGCTAGAAATTCAAAATTAAGGTATTGACAGTGTTGGTTTCTTCAGAAGACTATGAGGGAAGATCTTCCAGGCCTTTCTCCTTGGTTTGCACATGGGCACTTCAAAAAGTTCATGGAAAATAGAACTAAAAGATAATACAAATCTTTCCATGAGCTTTTTGAAGACCCCTCATAGATGATCAACTTTATGCTTATAGGGCATTCTCCCTGTATGCCTGTCTGTATCCAAATTTCCCCTTCTAATAAGGACAACAGTCATACTATATTAGAGTCCAGCCCAATGACCTTATTTTACCTTGATTATATCTGCAAAGACCCTATCTCCAAATAGGATCTCATTCCGAAGTAAGGGTTAGGACTTCAATATATGAATTTAGGGGAGGACACAATGCAACTATAATTGCGTTGTGTGGCACAGTGTGTGACACATAACTATCACAGTCTCAGATATTCTACCAACTCACTGAAATCTCTTTCTCAGTGTCTTTACTTGGATATCCCCCTTTTTACTAACCTATAAATGCCAAGGCACTCTAAAATTGTGTATCATTACCCTTGACTCTCCCCTAATTTTCATACTTGTACCTGCAACTATCTAATTGACATCTCCAATTAAGTATCAATTTAGTATTTCTAAAAGTAAATTTTTAATTTTTTACTATAAATCTATTTCTTGCTAGGTTTTCTCTACCTGATGAAATAGTGCCACCTTCCATGTTATTGTTCAGACCAGGTTCTGACAGTGTCCTTCACTACTTCATTCCTCTCACATTACCTATTCATATATTTAATAAGTTCTGTGACTTTTCCTTTATGATATATTGCAAATTTGATCATTCTCACTATTCCCTATTGCATCCCTGATCTGTTGCAGTAGCCTACTACCAGGACTACCTACTTTCATTTTGGCCTCCAATAACCTGTTTTCCTAAAACAGCCCAAATGAACCCTTTTAAAAACATTATTTAGGTGATATCACTCCTTTGCTCACAACCCCATTGAGAAATTCCTATCACACACTCAATAAAAGCCAGTCTCCCTATCTTGACCTACAAGATTCTAGATGACTGTGAACCAGGCCACCTGCCCAAACTAATCTCTTGCAATTCTCCATGTTTACTTGGTCAAGCATTTTTAATACTCCTCAAATATCCAAAATGCTTTTCTATCTCCCTAACTCCATCTGTTATTCTGTAGATGTTAATTACAGCGATCAGAAGCATTTTATCTCTACATGAATGGTAAATATTACAGAAAAGTGTATTATAAATTCAATCTTTTATTTTTTCTTTCAAACAAGTGTTTATAGAACACCTACATGCATTACGCCAATCAGAGAAGGCACACTCCCAGGCATCACAGAGCATCCACTAACTCATTTCAGCTCAAGGTCTACACCAGGGGTCATTTCATCAAAGAACAGAAATCCAGACGTTTTCACCACGTCTTTTGCTTTTCTACATGGAAGTGTAAATTTTCAAGATATAACATGGTTGCTGACATAATTTTTAAAAATTTTTTAATATACTCATGACAAGTATCTTATAAAACCTGAGCAACTTTCTGCCAACAGAAGTTTTTTTCAACATTTCAATTCCTACAAACTCAAGCAATATGATTTCCCATGTAATAAGAAATTCATACAATTGCAAAGCCTGGTTCCAGTACCGGATGTTAAAGTCTTACCTTTGGGAAGCTTGTTTACAGCTTGAAGGAGTGGTTTTTATTTCACTCATAAAGAGCTGGAAATCCTTCTTTCATCCAGCATGAACAGAGAAAGCACAAAAAGACATTATTCCCTGAGGATATATTTGAAATCACATAACTATGTCAATCCCTTTTCTCCACAGTCTTCCAAGTATTTCAGAAAATTATTACTTGCATTTTAGATCTATTTCAAAGGAGTTCTAGGTGCAAACAGGAAAATAAAAATTTTCTATTAGGATAATTTATCAAAAACACAAACAAATAACATGACTACACAGAAGATAGAAACCAGTCTCTTTAACAGAAATTTTTCTCTACTAACTTTTTTCTAGTAACATCAATGAAGAATAACTCACATTAAGATGTCCATCTCACTCTCTCGTGCTGATATGGTCAAATACTCATTCTTGGGATATAGAAAGGGCATTCTTGTGCCTTTATGATACTATACTTTAAGCCTAATTCAGCATCATCTGAAATAGTTATATCAGTTCTTAAGAGTGTGGCATCTTCTATCTGATAGTGGTAAAGATCATTGAAGATTTTATAACTTGTAAACACATTAACCATGGAGCCCTATAATTGGAGCCTGTCCAAGCTTGATTCTTGCTTAATTAAGTTCTTTGCGATTTTCCACCATTTTGTAAGAGAACATCTATATGTAAAGATATGGTTACATCAATCACATAACTAGGGTCAGGAAGATGTTACAAGGAAAAAGATAGCTTCAGAATTGTTATGGAATGATTGCTAATCAATGATAAAATATCAGCCCAATGGAGAAGAGGACCAGACTGCCCTCCCTCAACCAGGCACATGGCACCAGTGCCTTAGGGCCTGCCCAGGGACCAGAGGCATAGAGAAGAGGACCAGGCACACCCCACAACCAGGCATACTGCCAGTGCCAAGGAGCATACTAAAAATAGCACCTCCATGTGGGTGGCCCACCACAGACTCCACAATAACTATGTCTGCCACGAAAGCGACTAGACACCACAACCACCATGCAGATGGTCCGCCAACCCCAGGAATGCATTCACACAAGGAGAGTCACCAGCAGAGACAAAGAAAAGAAGAGGATGTCTTTTTCCACTCTGCCCATTTCAGAGTGACAGAAGAAGCATCTGTTCTATGATAATATTGGGGGACCTGATCACATCTGTCAGCATTGGACAGATCATTTGGCAACAAATTAACAGAGTAACCATTATTCTTTCAGGAGGAGAGAAGAAATCTAGGGTAATTAAAAAGGGGAGGGGGAGGAAATGGGGGAAGGGGAGAGATTGGACAAGGGGCACAAAGAGTAATTATGATTTCTAACAATACATATGCTAGTAATATTGATTTGATTAATTATGATTTCTAACAATACTGGACAAGGGGCACAAAGAGTAATTATGATTTCTAACAATACATATGCTAGTAATATTGATTTGATCAACATATCTCAATGATCAACCCCCAAAATATGTATAACCGATTTTGATTCAATAAATAAAATAAATTTTTAAAAAATATATTAATAAAAAAAAATTTTTTTAAATATCAGCCCAGCCATTTTGTCCCAAGTAAGATGAATTTATTACTTATTTCCTCACATTGCCATAGCAATTCTTTTTTCCTTTTATCTAATATTCAATA